AATTTTATATGGAAGCTGTGACTTCTAACCGAAAATTTACCAAAAATACTCAGAAAGTGGAAATGCGAAAGCTCTTATCGGTATTAAATGAACTGCATCGGCAGACTGCGATGCTTGCTTAGAGCTCTCAAAAAAGCTTAGAATTTGTATGAAAGTTCATAACAACTTTTCCAGAATTAATTTATTTAAATATTTATAATTAGTGAAGCAAAAAAGCTATCTTACTCTTCGCGTAAACACCCCAAAAATAGAGCTTTCAAAAAAATGTCTATATCTCATTTATACGAAAGCTCATAACAGCTTTAGCAGAAGTGTTGAAAATTAGCGATGTGAAAAGGCTATCTCATTTTTAGTGTGAAATTTTTAAAAAGACACTCTTTAATATAATTTCCCGAAAGCGTCGTTTATTTGAAATCACATATAACGACTTTCAGTGAACTTAGTTCGGATATGTTTTAGATAATTGAAACGGGCAAGTTCTTAATGTGTACGGAAGATCCCAATGTAATATATATAATCAAAGTGAATACGTTTCGCATTTCCACTTTCTGAGTATTTTTGGTAAATTTTCGGTTAGAAGTCACAGCTTCCATATAAAATTGCGTGTCGCTATATCATTCATAAGTTTAAGCTCATCGGCTATGTATGATTTTGCAAAAATTTAGTAGAAAAGTGTTTGAAATGAGTTTTAATTTTCAGTATGCTTTAAAATTTATCAAATTACTTCTAAACGTTCCAGTTATTCAGTAAGCTTTCACGTGTCTAGTAAGCTTTCACTAAAAGTTCATCATGAATATTAAATCAGCTTTTTTGCTACTCAGCTTTTAACACTGTTTAGAGCTTTCGCGACTACACTCCTTTGAGCTTATGAATAACTAAATCATGCTCAGCTAATTAGTTTAATAACTCAAGCCAAGCTACATTTAAGGGGGGGGGAAAAGCAAAACTTTTTTGTGGGTAGTAAATTTTGTATCACTTATTTTAAATATTAATGAATGCTACAAAAGCTTCCAATCTGATGTCTCTTTCGCTCCCATTTGGCTTATAATAAATTGGCAAACTTAAGTGCTGAATGTGCGAAAATGAGTTTAGCATGAGTAGTTGCAAAAACGAATACAAGCTAATAGGCAATAAAAAGGCAAATAAAAATATTGATTAAATTCGAAATAAAATTGCAAAATGAGTGCATGATAAGAAATAAAGCGCGGTGGGTGAGAGTATTTTAAACTTGAAATGCGAAAGCTTAGCGCTTTAAGCTCTGATAAGTTTTTGTAAAACGTTTAATTCCTCTTTCTGAGGTGAGGTACATAAAAAAATAAAATAAATATATAGATATATAAATTGAGAAACGCTTTAAAAAAATATAAAAAGTTACTAAAAACAGAAAATTTTTATATAAAATTTTTTCTAATAACTTTTTCGAAAGCTTTCTCACATGACGTTCATAAAAAGCTTTTACGTTCAACCCACGCAACGAGCTTTTCAATTTCCGGGGTAATTCAAGTTTGATATGCTCTCACTAAGCATTTGACTGCTCTCTGCCATGCATTACAGTAATAAAAAGAAGAGTAAGCTTTTAAAGAAAAGTGCGGGAAGAGAAAGAGTGCGAGTACTTTCACATGCGAAGCTGTGCCCACTACAGTTAGATATCGCTATAAATAGATGGTGTGTTTTTGCATGCATACACCCACACACATATACACATACTGCATAATTGAATACCAGTTTGGAGCATTCCCACTCACCTGGAAGCGTGCTGTCATACGTTGCTTGAATGTCTGTGCTTGCTTGGGATCGGCCATGCGCATATCCTGGTACTTCTCCTCCAAATCGGACCAGTCCTTCATGACACGTGTGACCTTCTCGCGATGCGATTCCTCGAGGCGCTGTTGGGCTTCCTTGTTTTAGAATATGTTCGGTTTTGTGTTGATAAAATGCACATTGAATGGAGTACACTTACTTTTTGACTTACTTTGTAGCTCTGATGCTCGTAATGCGGATCGAAGTGCGTGAAGTATGGATCGACGGTGGGCTGGCTAGTGGATGGTGCTGTGGGGAATTGTTGCTGCTGCTGTTGTTGTGCTGTGGATGCGACTGGCGCGTCAGCCATCATGCCAGCAGCGCCCTTAACCACCGACTCAACACCCAATTTGCCCTTTGCACCACCAGCCTCATCTGTGTTGGACTTCACCGCCGCTGGTTTCGCGCCGCTTGAGCTACCATTCTGCAAATCCCAGCTGTCCGACTGCTCTTCAGCTGCTCCGCCACCATCCTCCTCATAGTTGTCCAAGTCCTCACCGGAATCATATTCGCCATTCAAATCGTCAGCATTGGAGCTATTCGCCTCACCAGCAGCTGCCTCATCGGCGACCATTTCGTCCTCTTCATCATCGCCCAACAAGTCATCTTCATCGTCGAGATCATCATCGGCGCCAACATCCTTCGAGTAGTTAGAGTCATTGTCATCATCGTTAGTCACATCCACATTGCTGTTGGTAATCTCAGCTGGGGCGATAACGGGTAGATCGGTTTTCTTTACGCGAATCTCATCGGCTGATGCATAGGCGAGAGAGTTTGGAGGAGAAAAAAGTTGTATTAGTAAAATTTGTAAGCTTCGCTGTGCGATTCCGAAGAGTGTAGCGCGGTTGGCAAACAGTGAAGGGAAGATGTGAATCTACGAGATCTACGAGGGTCAAGCGTGGAGTTATGGATTTACTGCTACTATTTGCTACCTGCGGTATAGCTGGAAGTTTAAGCTTGAAGAAGGCTAACAAAGAAGGCAGCGATGCGAATCCATTTTGTTATATTAGGAATAAGTTGTGTGTGCTATCATATTTGTGACCTCACTTTGCATTTGAGAGCAGAGTGGAGACTCGCGGTGAGTTAAGAGCAAAGTTTGCGTTTTCCATAGCCTTGAAAGGCAGACATAAAGGAGTGGCGGCGAATAGAGAAATGGGAAGTTGTAGCAAAAAGAGGGATATTATCGAGAAGCAAGAGGAATTAATTGCCGATAACCGGAAGGAGTGTGGAAACACTGCTTTAGGAAGCCTATGGTGAGATGGTAATTGAGAAATGAGTTATTAGTCTTCCCGAGGGAAGCCAAGAAGCTTTCGTAACTCAGCGGTAGTGAAAAAATAACAAATGTATAAGGGATGAGTTTGACCAGACTTAGCAAAATTGGTAAAAATCCCTTCAAATTAAGAAAAAAATTTGATAAAAGTAAGTAAATATTAATATTATTCTGTTAGTAATTGCTAACACAAAACAAAATAAGTAACAGTTTTGAAAAAAAAGATCTATAAAACAAAAGAAAATTAATTTTGAAAGTTTCGACAATGAAAACTATTGAATGCTGTAAATGTCAATAAAATTGCAGCTTTTATCAGCGCATGTGGCTATACGCAGCGCGGCAGGTGGCAAGTATTGCCATTAAAATTCAATTAGCGCACATGTCGATGGGGAATTTGTACATGTGGCAACTACGTGGCAGCCAAGCAGCGCTGAAAATTCATTTCGACAAATTTGCAAACTAAAATGAACACGATGTGCTTGCAACAAGCAAGCTAGCAATTTTCAGCGAACAAAAAATTTTCTACAAAGCAGCGCAGTAAAGTATGTGTTTGTTGTTTAACAGTTTTGGTTGTTGTTGTTGCTTTTTTGGCTGACGCTCGAACATTATTGCGTTGATTGATTTTCGTTGTTTTCGTTTAGTCTTTGCTATTTATCTATGCATTGGCGACCTATATACGCTCTAACGGTACATATACATGTATATATGTATGCCACAATGCATATGGTATATGCGAAAGTAACGTTACGCTACCCGAGTCGATTCACACACACACTCAAACACACAAATACGCTCCCACTTACTTGCACTTGATTGCTACCAACATCGCTCCCACACTTTCAAGCGCAATTACCTAGCACACTGCTCAGGTCTTTGCATACTCACTTTTGAAATGTTTCGGACAGCAAACGAATTCCACGCCCGAGAACAATGAAATACCACAGGGCAGCAACATGGCGAAGCTGCGCATTTGCATGCCGCGCTCCTGGCAAGCGGCAGCGCCAGTCTGGTTCCATCTAACGAATGGCCAGCAACGTGAGGCGTTGTGAATGTGATCGAAGAGGCATCCTTCGGGCACGAGCAGGGCATCCGACTGGAATGGTCCTTCTGAAAGCAAGTGCATAATGTAGCAAGCAGAAATTTGCCGGTGTACGTTTGAATATTAAATAAAACAGAGAAAAAGAAAATAGAATGTTAGGAATGTTGAAAAAGATAGAAATAGAGGGAGAGAGAAAAAGAGAGATAGAAACGGGAGCGGGCGAGAGATATTAGTTAGGTGGTTAGTATAATATGAAAAAAAACATAAGCTAGCATTTAAAGAATACATTTTTAATTCTATGTTATTCTATATTATTCTATGTTTTGTTTTTTTAATTCTCTTATCGTAAATATAGTTCATTTTCGATATGCTTTTTGTATTTATCATTTAATTCTCTATTATGTCAGATTATTTATATTCGCTATTCTTGTTGTTAAATTTTCCTTTACTTTTTCTATGTTTTTTTACTTTTAATTCGATGTTATGTTTTGTTTTTTTATTTCTCTCTTAAAGGTTTTTTGCTAAATTCTATACTGCACGGTCCTACAAATTATTGACTTTTTGAGAAATCATTTCTTTATATGCTATGTTATATATTCGATGTTTTTGTTTTCATGTTTTCCAATATTTGTTACCCAAACTTCCATATATCTTTCTGTAAACGAGTCTATATTCTATGTTTTATATATTTTGCAATGTTCTATGTTTCTAATTTCATACTTAAAAATAAAAGCATGTGTTGAATTTATAGAGTGAATGAAATGCTTAGCTAATATTTAAAACCTCATTCTATATTTCATATTCTACGTTTTTTATGTCATTATTTATATTCGATACTCTTGTTTTTATAGTTTCCTTTATATGCTGTGTTTAATATTCGATGTTTTTGTTTTCATGTTTTCTAACATTTGTTATTCAAAACGAGTTTTTATTCTATGCTTTATATATTTTTCGATATCCTATGTCTCTTACTTTATATTTTTAATTACAAAGTATGCGCTGAACTTATTGAGCGAATGAAATGCCATATTTGCTTTTACGTATCTGATATTCGAGCCCAAATTCTATATTTCATATTCTACGTTTTTGGCTTTTATTGTTTATGCTTTAATGTGCTATATAAATATTATACTAATATAGTCTATATTGGTTTTTCATTTTCCTGATTTTTTCCTTAATTTTTACATTTCTTTCATATTTTCATAGTCTACTCACCCAAGCAACGGAATGGTTTGATCCAACGATGTGCCCCTTTGCATTTTGCCGAATTCAAAGCACCCTGACGACACCAGCCGCCGATTTTCTGATAATGCGAAGATTCAACAATATTAGTGATGTCACGATTCGGATAAGCCTGTAAGAAAGGGATGAGAGTGTGAGTGAAAAATATTTTTATTTATTTATCAATATACAGATATTAGATAGTTGATTGGGGTGTATAGCTTTTTCGGTTGGTTTACTATATTGCATAAAAGAATCTTGATTTTGTAGCAACTCTTATTTTTTCTAATTGCCTTACGAAATGTGTTGATATGGACAAAGTTCTTAGTGATATTTTTAAAAAGCTTAGTTTAAAAATAAAAAGCTTAAGTTCAGTGATAGATGGCGCTGTGTTAAATGTATGCTTTGTTCTAATTGTTAAAACTTTCGTCAATGCTTGTTACCGTCTCAAGTCGGAAAATTTTCAAACCCAACAGCTGCTCTACATTTTAAGTTTCGTATGACTCAAAAATTCTGTTTTGAACACCGCTACAGCCTCAAGCGGAAATCCGCATAGCTCTGGGTGATTGAAGACTTGATTGTCTGGATCGCTAGATAGCACACTTATTTTGACTGATCAGCTGCGCATTAGTGTTTGTTGACAGATTATCAGATGCCGCAGGTATGACTTGGAAGCTCTTTGGTAGTTGTTGCTTATCTTGTGTCCATGCAGCCAGCCGCGCGCTCGACGACTCCAACTAAATTTTGTCACTGCGGTGCGGTTAAACATGACAGCATTTAATTTGCTTTACTATAATGTAATTCATTGTTGTCGTTGTTAATGGATATTTTGCGGTTTACAGTTAATTTTGCACACAAAACAACAACTACGGGCATGCAATTTAATCAGCAATTAGGTGAACTTTCAATGAATTTACTTCGAAAGTGGCATTGAGGCGTTTATTGATGCTGACATGACCCATCAGTGCTGATGAGTTTAGCTCAAAGAAGCGATTTAATTGCCAAAATGCAGTAAATAAGCGACTGTCAGTCGGTATAAGTAGCTCGAAGGGGAGTTGTGAGGCTTTGCAGCATTTGCTCTTATGCTAATATATGCGTGTGTTGCTGATGAAGTGTTGGAGCGGTGATTTGCAATTTTGGGGCGAAATGCAACACTGCCGCGCGTGTGTGCGTTGCATGTACAACCTTGACACGACAACGATGCGCCGCAAGCTGTGCGCCAACCACAGCAAAAACGATAACAACAACCACATTAATTGAAACAACATCACGTCGACAACGACAAACGACAACAACCAATAAAACACGCTCCATTGAAATGCAATGATATTGTGGCGCTGGCATGTGTGTGTGTGTGTTGCTGCTGCTGTTGGCGATAAGCGTGCTGCATACACAAACAATGTGTGGGGCTAGCAGCTGCTGCCGCTGCGCCGCTCCTACAAGTAACTTACCGATTGAAAGTATATGTATGTGTATGTGTATGTGTGTGCACGTGTATCGAGCACGCTGTCACTTCGATTACAAAATCAATTTCGTGCACCTTAACTCGTCGCCTTGCCGCTCGCATTGACAATAACGATGACAGCAAGCCACGCACGAGCATGTCAAGGCAATCGTACGTACAGACAGACGGACGTACAAATGTTTGGTATGGTGGAACGTGTGGTTGTAACATTGCCTGCCAGCACTTTGCACTGATTTTGAGTGATTGTTGTTGCTGGCGTAAGCTGAGACAGTTGTTAGTTGGCGGCGGGTGGGAGATGGCAGTTGTGTGCGTACGTTTGTCAGCTATTGAGCCTCTTAGCTGCAATACCAATTACGCGCACGCATATAAATCACGACGCATGCAATGTAACGCCTAAAACTAGGCAATATTTGTGGACAGTGCGTGGTCGACTGCAGGCTGCGCGCTGCTAGGCCTTCATTGCACAGGGCGCTGCAGCAGCTGGTGCATGACAAACGACCGCAAAGGTGTGCGGCAGCAGAGTGCGGAAAGAGCACACACACACATACGCCCACGCAACGCAATGTTGGCATATACACGCATGCATAGTTAATAACCGCAGCTGTGCGGCAGTTGCGAATTATATCGACTCTTTGCATACACCATGTATGCACTGTATATGTATGCGTGTGCGTGTGCGTTTGAGCGTCTCGCATGGCAAACAATAAAATTAATTTTGTCATCTAAATTTGCAAAATAACACACTGAGAGCGCAATAAACATATGTAGCCCATGCATACATAATAAACTAGTAACAAACTCACACAAGCGCACAAACACACACACACACTCATAAAGCCAACCACATGCACTGTGCGCTGCAAATTGCAGTGGCATTGCTGAAATTTATTAGGAAAATGCGCTCGTCTCATGTGAATGCGATATTAACAAGCACACACATGCATCTATGTATGTACATATGTATGTACAAGTATGTATGTATTAGTGAGTGCGTACGTGCTTTTGCCACACATGCACATATACTATATATTGCTTACGTGCACTATAATATGCATAAACGCGCACACAGTAAAGTTAACGTAAGTATTTCGGAGTTCCGAATTCGTGCATATCGGGATTTCGGAACTAGCAAATTTGTGTTCGGGATCCCGAAATTTTTCTTGGTTATTTTTTTGAAGAAAATAACCCTGAAAGCGCAGTTATGAATGCTTGATTTCGGGATCCCGAAAATATTTTTTCGGGATCAAACCATTTTAATTTATTTGTACATTAAAATTTCAATAGAAAAGCCTGGGTCACAACAATTCAAATTTGGCTATATCGAAATTTCGGGATTTTGAAAAATTTAAGGTGGAATTCACCATGCGAAACAACGAACCAATTCGAATATATTGTATGTGTGTATATTAATTTTTATATATTTATTGTAGCCTGCATAGACATTTATCCTGCTGATGTTACTCATACGCCATGTAGCATCATAGCGATTGTAAGCGCTTTCCATAAAAATGCTATACCTACATAAATAAAGCTTTGCATACACATTTCTGACACTGTTGTAATGCGACAGCAATAAATCAATAAATGCTCGTTTGGCATATTTGTCGCGCTGCAATATTATCGTCAGTGTTTTTTGCAATAAAAACAATGGAAGCGAGCTTAAATTGCAATTTATGGCTTAGCTGTGGAATATTTGAAACTTCAGTTGCTGCTTTTGCAACGTTCATTAACATTTAGTGTTGGGGAGCGGATTTTTACAAATGCGCTATTAAGCTACCGGGAGTTGCAGCGTAAAAGTATGCTACAAATTGCGGCTGAATGCGTTATAGCGTTTTAAAATATAATTTGTGCGATTTTTTTTGAAAAGTTTTTGCAATATACACTTCTACATGCATATATATTATTTCAAAATATTCTCAATAAATTTTCAGGATTTCGTGTGCCTTTTACAATGCCACGCTCTTCCAACCAAAAGTGCCAGCAGCTAATACTGCACAATAGAAAGAGCTCATTTTGGAGCATACTACATAGAAACATCAACATAAATTCTATTAAATTAGTTATCTCTTTAACTCCGACCATCAATCCACCCATCTATCCCTACACAAACCGCTGTAACCTCATCTTCATAGCTCATCTCACTTAATCTTCGACGCTAATAGAGAACACTTCGGCAACGCCATGCGTCGCGCCCAGCGACCAACCAACATTTTGCGGTTTTCATGCGAAAGATACGTGGCTCATCAGTTGCATGCGGCCTTTTGAAAATGCACTAACGACCCTGACTCAGCCGGAGCGTCCGGCAAATGCCACACAATTAATGGCTTCGTTTGTGGTTGCTCAATGATAGCTGCTGTTGGCCACTAAACAGATTGAAGGGTGCATACATAATTGCAGCATAGGTATATAGGTATAACTAAGTGGTTGTGCTTGTAAATACCTACATATGTGCATGTGTACATGTGTGTATATTATATGCAGGCAATATTATTACATCAACAAAAAAACCATAAAATTTAAAAAATGCCGCAAAATTAAGCATAATTTTAAAATATTACCATTAACTCCCTGTGGTATGTATATTTTGTAGAGTTTTGAGCTTGCAGCCAACAGTTCTGCGCATTTTCTTGCATTACTCTTGAGAACAGCGATGGTTGCTGATAAGTATGTGTGCGGCGCCTGTGGGTATGCTATCGAATTTGATTTACGCGTATACTCTTGAACAAATAAAATAGCTTAACGACTTTTGCGCTAAATATTGAAAGCGTTTAGTAAATAAGCGAAAGTTTTGCTGAGAAATTCGTAGCAATTTTTTGTAAATTGCTTATATAACGTTTAAAATTAAGTCTGTAAAAAGGTGTCTGACGGTAGCTACTTATTTAAATACATACGTATATCAAATTTGAACCAGACTCCAATATCTAAAAAAAACCCATTTTCTTGTATTTTATTACAAATCTTTATTATTGCCTTCAAAAGAGGCTGCTTTTAGGCAAATACAAGCATGTCAATGTTTAATCCAATTTTTTATATAGAAAATTATATACTGGTTATAAGCGCTGGCTGGTACGGGGCGTGCTTCTAAAATAAATGAGTTTTGGTTTCGAAAACAAATATAAAAAAAATGGTGACATTAAGCCAAATATGCCGAATACGCTGGCTAAGCGATGACTTTCGTGTCAAGTTTGGCTTAAAAGTCAGTCACTATCATGCTTAAAAGTTACGGCATATTATCGTAGTGAAAAATGCTTGGTACTCAGCTATGTTGCCAAGCGAGTTCTACTCGAAAATGCTGCCAAAAATGCAGGTCTCTTGGTACAAGCCTAGCCTTGGCATGCTTAATACCAAAAATATTAGCCGAAATGTGTTGAGTCGATGAAAAAGAAATGTTGAGTTTCGCTGCTATCGCTCTGCTGCCAATACAACGATTTTCAAGCGCTGTTACTTTAACTTTTTCGTTACTATCTTTATTAACAGTGGTCGATGGACGACTAACTAAGTTTTTGATGAGTTCACGAACACCACTGAATGCTTGGTGCCACTCAACTACTTGTGTATTGGACTACATAAAACACTGCTGCAACAGTTTAAGCGATTGCGAAGCTGTGATGCCATGTAGATGGCATAGATATAGATGATGATAGATAATAGAAAATATAATATAATCTATATAGGGAATATAGTAGTTT